TCTTATCCTCTTTCTCAGTTTCTTTCCTACTCCGTCTCTCCCTCTACTGTCAGAATTCAGATGATAAATTACTTGGAGCACTGACCTATGGTATCTAATTTTGTTAATGTTGTTCCATGGTATATACTGAAGATGTTACAACACTAACAACTACAACATGAAATCAGTTTTTAAGTGAGTGACCATGCTCAATATACAATAAAGCAGCACAGTAGTATATTATGCAGTCTCTTATGTATAATTGAATATTTAGGGAAGAAGAACTATGCAGGGTGCCATGAAATACCTACCATCCTCAGTTTTATAACAGCTACTAACAGGGATTAGTAAGAGATTCCACCTCAACATTAGGAGGCAGTTCCTGACAGTGAAAGCTGTTTGACAATGGAACATACTCCCTCAGAGTGTGGTGGAGTCTCCTTCTTTGGAGGTCTTTAAACAGAGTCTGGATGGCCATCTGTCAGGGATGCTTTGATTTTGAGTTCCTGCATGGCAGGGGGTTGGACTGGATGGCCCTTGTGGTCTCTTCCAATTCTATGATTCTATGCTTCTAGGGGAGGTCTACTGGTTCCACAGAAGATCATGCCCTTATGCACTTCATTGCTTAGAGTGTCACTTCCAATGCAACCCCATAGACATCTACCAAGAAGTAAGCTCCACTAAATTCAATGGAGCTTATTTCCAGATAATTGTGTATAGGATTGCTGTTGTGGTTGTGTGCCTTCAAGTCATTCTCAATTTATGAACCTAGTATGATGGTTTCTTGGAAAGATTTGTTCAGAGAGGATTTGCATTTGCAAGGGTTTTGCCTCTGGCTGAGAGAGTATGACCTGCCCAAGGTCATCCTGTTGGGTTCCATGGCTGAGCAGGGATTTGAACCCTGGTCTCCAGAATGATAGTCCAATGCTCAAATCATGCTGGCTTTTGTGTATAGAATTGCAACTTACCTTTTCTGTGAAGTATTCATTTAAAAAAAAATCAGAGTGGAAGACGCATTAATACTGCAGACTCATTTTTATTGGAGTTCCTATTACTACCAGAGTTTTTCCTTAAGACTGAAGGAAAAAATCCTTACGTTAGAGGAAGCCTAAATCTATTTGATCTATACATACAATGTTTCCCTTATGTATAGCATGCATGTATAAACATTTATAAAAAGGTAGAGAAACAACCCACAAGACTTTGAACGCTCTGGGTTTCTTTAAATGCACAGCAACAAAACATCTAACTCAGATCTTTGATGACCTTGTAAGTGCAAAAATCTCCTTGGAATAATTTCTGTTTATTCCTTTATTGGGTCAAATTTAAAATGTCAGTGGAACCAGGAAAGTGTATAAAAATAATCTCACTACCAAAGGGGGGGGGGGCACCCACCGTCTGACTGTAAAATATGGAAAATAGTACAATATTTTCAAAGTACGACAGAGAATAAATCACCTTTTGCCAAAGTTCATCAGCTATTAAGAAACAGGTGAGAAGGCTTCCTTTGCCAAGAACCAAAACAATACAAATCACTTTAAACACCCCGTGAAAATGACACACAAGGTCAGGAGGGTATTTTTTTTTTAATGAACACGTGCTCTGAAAGAAAATGATAAAATAATAATAATTTTAAGAATTGTGCTTGTTTTGTTAGTCAAGATTCTGAAAGGGGCTTTTGTATGGCAAAGTGTAATATAATCCCATCTTTCTGAACCAAGGCTGGAGAAAGGTTGTGTGTCTTATATCTCCAGTGAGACTGATTTCTTTTAGAGGTTCGGTGTAATTTATTTAATTAGTAGCATTTCCAAAATTGCCTTAGGTGAGGTATAAAATTAAGCTCTTGCTTTCTCTTACTGTATCTCTCTCTAACACACACACATAGGCACACATATACACACACACTCATATTCCATTAACAATTTTAAATTGGTTATCTAAAAGAAGGCTCCAATATTAAGCACTTTTAAGACACATTGATTTCAATGATAAAGAACTGTTTGGTGCATATATATATATATATATATATATATATATATATATTTGCATTTTTACAGCACCTGGCAGTCCCCAAGGTGCTCTCTGATTCACAAATAATACTGCATATCGAGGGGCAAGATCTAAAACCGTTGTTCTGCTGATGGAACTACTCCCATCAAAGAAACCTTCCCTGCATTCTCTCATGAACCATCAAAATCTATTCCATGAGACTGGGGAAAACACCATGGGACATGTCTTTGAAAAAGTATGGAGGACTGCAAGAGAGGGGAAGGAAGGCCAGTCAGACCAGCAGAGTGATACTGGATTTGGGGCAAATCCACAAATTAAAGGAAGACAAGAAAAAGTGCAGGGAAAACCTATATGCAACAAAACCAAAAAATTGTCCAACCTACCTAAACACAGGCAGAAACAGAGCTGTGTTAGTCTTCCTAGAGGACACCATGACCAAAAAAAGGTCCTGTCTCGTATTAACCTAGTGGCTAGCATAGGCCCTAGCATCACCTAGGAGTAGGGATAATTCCAATCCCTGAATTTCCAACACCCAACCTGAGACCTAGGGATGGCCCTGGTAATGTAATTAATTGCTATGCTTTAAATACCAGTTGCTCACAGCCAGTCATTCAAATACAGAGAGAGAGAGAGAGAATGAATAAACATTTTGCTGTCTGGAAGTAGGACAGAAATCTTAGCTAAAGGTGCTGTTTCCAAATCAAGGGGAAATGGATTATTGCTTCTTATAGGGGAGGGGGGTAAGGTATGTTTAATCTAGCCTTCTTGTTTTTAATCAGAATTTGTGTACAGAATAGAGTGGAGGGTGAGCCCTGACACAAAAAGGACTGGGAGAGAAGGAGGAAGCTAAAAAAGTCAATATACAGGAAAGCCCCTCTCCAGAGTCTTTGCAAGTTGCATCAATTAAGCCTTGAAAACTCTAGCAAGCAGATGTTTTCCTAGTTGAGCTGGAGATTGCACATAGCACTTTTCTCTTGCAAAGAGTTGAGCCACCAAAACTGAAGAATCTGCACTTTTGTCTTCCACTAACACTGGAGATTTAGGGTCAGAACCTGAAATTTGACAGCTCTACTTAGGGGTTAGGGGACAGAAAAGAACCATTTAAGACCATGATTTAATTTCTGCATTGAAATTAATGGGGGTAAAAGTGCCTATCATGAACTCCGCTTTTGCTGGTTTTCTAGTAGTAGTAGTATTGGCAGGAGTAGCAATAATTAGTGTTGGACTCTGCAGAACAATATTTGAATCCCTGCATGGCCATGAAAACCCACTGGGTAACCTTGGAAAAATCACACTCTCTCAGCCTCAGAGAATGGCAGGGAGAAGCCCCCCTCTGAAGAAACTTCCCAAGAAAACCCCATGATAGGCCACCATAAATCAGAAAATACTTGAAGGTACACAACAGCAAAAAAGTAACAGCAGCAGCAGCAGTTTTCTTCTCTTGTAGTTTTCATGTCTGATGTTTACTTTTTTATGACTTTCATTTTTTAAAACTGCTGAATTTTATATCTTAGTAAATATATATAGAAATAAACTAATTAATCCTGTACACTTCTACTGAGGGTGCATCTACACTACAGAAATAATGCTTTTTGATACCAATTTAGGTTCTGTAGCTCCATCCTATGGAGTCTTGGAATCTATATTTTTACAAGGTCTTTAGCCTTCTCTGGCAAATAATGCTGGTTTCAAAACTACAAATCCCAGAATTCTGTAGGATGGAGCCATGGCAGCTGAAGTGATGTTGAACTGCATTAATTCAACAGTGTAGATGGACCCTTAGAGGCAAAACCCACCATGTTCAATTGAACTTCCCTCCAGGTAAGTGTGTATACCAGTGCAATCATTTGGTATCAATGATAATAAATGGGAGAAATAAGCAAGACTTTGGGGGGAAATAACCTTTGGGGTCATCACCTTTCAGAATAGAAGAAGGAGGAAAAAGAGGGAGAACAAAAAAAAAGAGGAAGAAGTAGTAGAAGAAGAAATGAGAGATTAATTTGGTTTCCAGCCTTTTACATTCTACTCTACTCTTTTCCCTCTGTTTTTTGAATACTTTCCAGATCTCTGCTGGTTTAATTTCTTAGTCCCATCTGTTTCCCTCTCACTGGCTATATTTGTTAGTGTTTCCTCAAGCAGCATGCTATACGGCCCTAACTGTGCTGAGGGGGAAAAAGGGCATAGATTGATCATTTTATAGGACAGGAAAACGTTTATTTGGGGCTGGAGTGTACAGTGCATTTCATCACTTCCTGCCCAGAGTTATAGAAAAACGTCTTCAAAGAGAGTCTGCGGGAAAGTGTGGTGGAGAGGGGAGGGTTGTTGGAGAAGGGAATACAGCCGAGACTGTTTGGATCTAATGGGTGGAGGGGGGAAGAGGTAGCTATGTCAAGAGGGCCATTAGAAGGCTTATCTGTCTTTCTACCTTGGCGCGCAAAAGCTCCCAGCTCAACATGCTATGTGTCAAATCTATCATTTGATATGTCAGGAACCATTATTCCCTCTTTTGTCACCAGTTTTGACCAAAGGATGAAAAATTGCTGTCTTCCACCGACAAAATTATTGCAGAAAAAAAGGGCAACTCTGGCACTCAGGAGTAGGCCAAGGTGAAACACGGAGAAACTCTCCTTAGATTAGGTCTGGGTTAAGAGAATATTGATCTGTGTGCTAAAAACTGTTGATGTCTCTGAGCAGAGGATGACAAATAGGGGCAAACAAAAAAATTGAGTGTCTCCAAGGACATTTGAGCAGCTCTGTGAGGCTTTGGCTTTCCAACTTATTTGTTTGCCTGATGGGGTGTCCTCAAGAGAATTAAACTGAAATATGTAAATATTTCACAGAAAGGAAGCAGTCACAAATAATGGAGATAGGAGAGAATGTCCTTCTATGTCTAAATACAGATATAGATATATGAATAATAGTGTGCATATAGCAATCTAGCCAGTGATGTGATTCCTAAGCACAAGAAATAAAGTAATTTATTAACAATTACATAAAGAAACAAAGTGAGGGCCAGAGTGATATAATGGTTCGAGTATTGGACTGCAACTCTGGAGATCAGGGTTCAAATCCCTGCTCAGCCATGGAAATCTACTGGGTGACCTTGGGCAAATCATATTCTCTCAGCCTCAAAGGAAGGCAAAGGCAAACCCCCTCTGAAGAAATCTTGCCAAAAAAAATCTTGCCATGATATAGCAACAGCAAGTACATTTCTATACCCTTATCAGTGTACTTAAGCACTCCCAATGTGTAGGGTAATTGCCCCCCAACAATCTGGGTGCTCATTTTAGTGACCTACGAAAGGATGGAAGGCTGAGTGGACTCTGGAGCCCTGCCTGGGATCAAACTCACAACTGTGTGGCTGTGAATGGCTGCGGTATGGGCATTTAACCATTGCACCACCAGGGCTCCTGACCTGTTCACCTGAGGGTTGCCGTAAGTTGGAAAGTATTTGAAGGCACACAACAACTACAATAACAACAACACAAAGTAATTTAGGCACAGTTCTTACTTCCACCTGCAAGCCAAGAAAATAAGCTTAACTCTACTTCATTTCAATATATAGGTCACTGATAATCATAATGTACATATAAAATAAATGCCAGTTAATAATAAAATGAATTACTCATGTAAGTGGGAGTGAACACTTTTGCTTTCAGAAGGCTGCTTGCTAACCACTTTCTGAAAAAGGAGTATTAAAAGCCACAGGAGCCATGAATAGCATCACCTCTTCAGTCTCACTGCTCTAATTTTGGGGAAAGAACTGACTGCACTTGTCCTAGAAATAAACAACCTGAAACCAGGTGGAATCTGTTAGCTAGGGTAAAAAGTTTTTTAAAAAAAAATCTTCAGAAAATGTTCATGAGTGTGAATGAGTGAAAGAATTTTTCTAACAAGAGCTGCTTGTGTGGAGGAGTATGTATAGTTTCACTGGCAGAATTTGACAAAGATTCATATGCTTTGCATTGTATTTTTAAAGCATACACCTAAAGGCCAAATGGTGTGAGGTGATGGGGCAGGGAGAATTTTTAAAATGTTCGCAGCTTGGGGGTGCTCCTCGATTCGTTGCTTCACATGACTAGTCAGG